ACATTCCATACAGGAGGTACTGGGGCAGGAAAACTACAATACTTTATACCAGTAAGAATACAGATTGCAGTTCAGTAACCCAGACCCACAGAGTGATTCTAAACCACACAGATCCCTTCTATTACACATCTGGAGGATCCCCCTGCCTCGTGTAATACTATATCAGTATCCTATATACAGTGTTTGTGGTGGAGGATTGGCGGACTGCACTTGGTGGCGCCTTCTCAATCTTTTTTTTTTCCATATGTGACATTGGAGACTCACTTCTGCTCTGCCCTGAAGGCTGCTTTGAAGTACTAATCGTCCCGGTGCCCCTGTGGATCTTCTGCTGGACATAGCAGTGGTCTCTCTTTTCCCTCCCCCCTTCACCTTCTCCTTACCCTCCACCCATAGTGGGAATATGGAGCTGACAGTGAACATCTAACTTGAACCAACTCCTCTCCATGTATGTATTGTAGCTGTAATGTCTGCCTTCACTTTGTAAAGCGCTGTGCAAACTGTTGGTGCTATATAAACCCTGTATAATAATAATAATAATAATATCAGATATATAGGGTAACATTTAGCCTTACCTTCCAGGTCCGACTTTTTTCTTGAGACATTCAGGCTGCAGAACACAGAAACGATGGAGAATATTGGGTGTGGTGGAGGCGTTGGAATGTAACTAAGGTGCTTTCGACTTCAAACAGGAAAGACTACATTTTGATGTTCTAAAGAGTGACCAAAGATCCTCCCCCTTTGTCATCTCAATGCCCTTGATTTCACCTGATGTTAGGGGGGCACTCTCATGGGGACACCTGATGTAAGGGGAACTCTCATGGGGACACCGGATGCAAGGGGGAACTCTCATGGGGACACCTGATGCAAGGGGGAACTCATGGGGACACCTGATGCAAGGGGGAACTCTCAAGGGGAAACCTGATACACGGGGGCACTCTCGTGGGGACACCTGATGCAAGGGGGCACTCTCGTGGGGACACCTGATGCAAGGGGGCACTCTCGTGGGGACACCTGATGCAAGGGGGAACTCTCATGGGGACACCTGATGCAAGGGGGAACTCTCATGGGGACACCTGATGCAAGGGGGAACTCTCATGGGGACACCTGTGATAAGGGGAGAACTCCGATGGGGACACCTGAGGTAAGGGAGAACTCCGATGGGGACACCTGATGTCAGGAGCCACTCCAATAGGAACACCTCATGAAACGGGGACATTTAAAATTCACTACATATTATTGGAATAATTTGGAAGTTGTACATTGCTTATTTTCTATATATCTAAAATGACTACATATACATCAGGATCTTAGTCACAGGACAAAACATGAAAATCTGATTTATGCTGGAGGGTTCCGTGCTCCCAATGTTTTCGCCGGCAGGGGGCGCGCGCTCCCACCGACCCGCGGGTGACACCATTTGATCCCGGAGGGATCAATCATTAGATTTCAGCCAGTGATGTCTGGCTGAAATCAGATGATCGGTCCCTGTCCTATCCTGTCCTATGTTGACAGTTACACAGGACAGGATATGATGTCATTCTTCTCTGCCTGGACACATTCCGTTCCAGACAGAGAAGAAGACACAGTAAACGTGAGTAAAACACTACACATTTACAGTTAGAACACTCTAGGTCACATTTAACCCCCTGATTGCCCCCCCAGTTAACCCCTTCACTGCCCTGTCACCAGTGTCACTGATCAGTGAACCGATTTTTACTGATCACTGTATCAGTGTCGCTGGCGACTTCCGATAGTGTTAGCGCCCCTCCCAGATAGCGCCAGATTGCCCGCCAGTACACCAGTAATCCCGTTTAACCCCTTGATCGCCCCCCCCCCCAGTTAACCCCTTCACTGCCCTGTCACCAGTGTCACTGATCAGTGAACCGATTTTTACTGATCTCTGTATCAGTGTCGCTGGCGACTTCCGATAGTGTTAGCGCCCCTCCCAGATAGCGCCAGTTTGCCCGCCAGTACACCAGTAATCCCATTTAACCCCTTAATCCCCCCCCCAGTTAACCCCTTCACTGCCCTGTCTCCAGTGTCACTGATCAGTGAACCGATTTTTACTGATCACTGTATCAGTGTCGCTGGCGACTTCCAATAGTGTTAGCGCCCCTCCCAGATAGCGCCAGATTGCCCGCTAATACACCAGTAATCCCGTCTAACCCCTTGATTGCCCCCCCCCCCCCCCCCGAGTTAAGCCCTTCACTGCCCTGTCACCAGTGTCATTGATCAGTGAACAGATTTTTACTGATCACTGTATCAGTGTCGCTGGCGACTTCCAATAGTGTTAGCGCCCCTCCCAGATAGCGCCAGTTTGCCCGCCAGTACACCAGTAATCCCATTTAACCCCTTGATCGCCCCCCACCCCTCCCCCAGTTAACCCCTTCACTGCCCTGTCACCAGTGTCATTGATTACAGTGAACAGATTTTTACTAATCACTGTATTAGTGTCACTGGTGACTTCCGATAGTGTTAGCGCCCCTCCTATATAGCGCCAGTTTGCCCGCTAATGCACGGGATTTTTTTTACTGAAAACATGGAGCAGAATACATTTTGGCTTAAATTTATGACTAACTTTGAGTTTACGATATATTTTTTATAGCTGAAAGTAGAAAATATTTTTTTTTTCAAAAGTTTTGTGTTTTTTTTGTTTATAGCGCAAAAAATAAAAAGCGCACAGATGATAAAATATCATCAAAAGAAAGCTCTATTTGTGTGAAAAAAAGGACATAAATTTCGTTTGGGTGCAGCATTGCATGACCGCGCAATTATCATTTGAATTAGTGCAGCGCCAAACAGCAAAAAAAAGGCCTGGTCATTAAGGGGGGTAAATCCTCAGGAGCTCAAGTGGTTAAATACCACCAAAAGAAAGCCCTATTTTTGGGGAAAAAAAAGGACGTAAATTTAATTTGAGTGCAGCATTGCATGACCGCGCAATTGTCAGCTGAAATAACAGAGCGCCATAATGCAAAAAATGGCCTGGTCAGGAAGGGGGTTAAATCCTCTGGAGGGTAAGTGGTAAAAGTGCAGCTTCACCCATAACTACTTGATAGAAAATAATGTTCTTTAACAAGGAACGTACATTCCACATTCATAATTCTGCTACTGAAATCAGTGTGTGCTGTAAATTGCCTCCAGCAGTTCCTACTTCTTCCTGGAGGCTGCCAGTTTGCTTTAACCCAGAGCCACTGAGCAGCAGTAATTCTTTAGGCTGTCAGCAGATCGGCCTCTACATTATTGGCACAGTACTGAAAAATACAAAGCAACTGAGCATGTGCAGAGAAGAGTGAGACGGTGCATTACTGCATTTTTAAACAGCATAGGCACTTATTTTTTAATGTTTTACAGAGCTATACCTGCAAGAGGGGCCAGTCTGAACTCATCTACCAGGACTTCATTTTCAAGTTCCACTTTATCCAAAATGAGAAAAAAAATTTTTCCCTTTAGTTCTTTAGAGTAAGGGAAGGTTTTAACCCATGCAAGGTTTATATTTGCTATCTGTGTCCCATTGAGGAGATTTTCCTTCACTTCCTGTCCCATAGCCAAAACAGGAAGTCAGAGAAAACCCCTCTTAAGTGAGGGAATCTCTAGTTGTCACCAGAACTAGTTGTCACTTCTGTTCTCATTATTATTATTTACGTTATTATACTATTCATGTTCTGGGGACCACAAAATTATAATTGTTCTGGCCGATAAAACTTGTACTGCCACATAAAGGGAGGAGATATTCAACACTGAGGAGTTGTGACCAGAGTAATGTTCCGGTGAAATTTCCTCTCATTTCCTGTTGTATCTTCAGTGCAGGAAGTGAAGGGGAATCTTTCCCAGGAGATTAAAAAAAAAGTTAAAATTTTTTTTTTTTAAAAGTTGGCTTTCCATAGACTTTCATCTTTTAAAGGCTGGGGGATGGGAGGATGTGTTGGAATTTGTGGCAGCTTCTATCAGCCATCTCTCATCCTCCAGAGGTCATATCCACCTCCGCCGAGGTCAGGGGCTTAGTGCAGTCAGTGCTAAAGATTAAAGGGGAGCTCCGGGCAAGACCTGATGAGGAAGCAAGCAATGGTACTTAAAGTGTTGCTAAACCCACAACAGTCCAATCAGTCTGTAGATGCAGTAAAGCGTGCTTGTTATACTCGCTGTGTAACCTAAGGGGTTAATCCTCTGCATTGTGTAAAAAGGATGTTTGATCCTGTCTTCTCTGCCCCTCTTCTTGTTGAAATGACCATCTGATACCGACTGAATCCATAACCGCATGCACATGCTCAGTTTGGTGTGCATTGCTATATTTTTGGGAGTTGGTCTTGGGAGTTTGCATGTGATCAGCACAGGGCCAATCAGCACTGTCAAGACAGAGGGGCAGAGGTTTTATATCCTCCTAGAGCAGAAAGAAAACTTCTCCAACAAACTTTAAACGGTGCTCTGCCGAAGTCACAAGACGGCGCTAACTGCTGATGAGAAAAGGTATTAAGCAGTTTTTAAGGACTAAAATACTTGCATTGCCATGTTGTGTGTCCTATGGGAGATCAGATATAGTGAATGCGGGGTCCGGGGAGATCAGATATAGTGAATGCGGGGTCCGGGGAGATCAGATATAGTGAATGCGGGGTCCGGGAAGAGCGGATATAGTGAATGCGGGGTCCGGGGAGATCAGATAGAGTTAATGCAGGGTTCGGGGAAACCGGATATAGTGAATGCAGGGTCTAATAGACCAATGTTCAATATTGCGTTGGCTTCTGGGAAGGCCGTCCACAAGGTTTAGGAAGGTGTCTATGGGAAGGTTTGACCATTCTTCCAGAAGCACATTTGTCAGGTCAGGTACTGATGTCGGGGGAGAAGGCCTGGCTCGCAGTCTCTGCTTTAATTTATCATAAAGGTGTTCTATGGGGTTGAGGTTAGGACTTGCAGGCCAGTCAAGTTCCTTCACCCCAAACTCGGTCATCCATGTCTTTATGGACCTTGCTTTGTGCACTGGTGCGCAGTCATGTTGGAACAGTAAGGGGCCATCGCCAAACTCTTCCCACAAAGTTGGGAGCATGAAATTGTCCAAAATGTCTTGGTATACTGACGCCTTAGGAGTTCCCTTCACTGGAACAAAGTAGCCAAGCCAAACACTTGAAGATCAATCACACACCATAATCCCCCTCCACCAAACTTTACACTTGTCACAATGCTGTCAGGCAAATACCGTTCTCCTGGCAACCATCAAACCCAGACACGTCCATTGGATTTGCAGGACAAAGAAGCGGGATTGGTCCCTCCAGAGAACACGGCTATACTGCTCTAGAGTCCAGTGGCGGCATGCTTTACACCACGGCATCCGACGCTTTGCACTTGGTGATGGAAGGCTTGGATGCAGCTGCTCGGCCATGGAAACCCATTCCATGAAGCTCTCTACGCACTGTTGTTGGGCTCATCTGAAGGCCACACCAAGTTTGGAGGTGTATAGCTATTGACTCTGCAGACAGTTGGTTACTTCTGCATACTGAGCGCTTCAGCATGCGCTGACCCCGCTCTGTCATGTGACGTGGCCTACCACTTGGTGGCTGTTGTTCCCAGTCGCTTCCACTTTGTTATAATCCCACTAACAGTTGAGCGTGGCATATTTAGTAGCCAGGAAATGTCACGGATGGACTTATTGCACAGGTGGCCACCTATCACGGGACCACGCTTGGAGTCACTGAGCTCCTGAGAGTGACCCATTCTTTCACCAATGTTTGTAGAAGCAGTCTGCATGCCTAGGGGCTTGATTGTATACACCTGTGGCCATGGAGGGGATTGGAACACCTGAATCACATGATTTGGAGGGCTGGCCAAATACTTCTGGCAATATAGTGTATGTAAACAGCGATCAAACCACACATATGAGGTATAGCCACGAACATAGGGAGAACAATAATTTTAGCACCAGACCTCCTGTATAACTCTAAACTGGTAACCTGTAAAGACTTTACAAACGTTGTCTATAGAGATTTTTTAACTATCGTAGTTCGGCCCTATTCCACAAGTGTGCACAATTTTAAAGTGTGAAATCTTATGCATCTATTCAGTCAGTATAATATCATCTCTTATCAAAATAAACGCCAGGATCTGAGTCACAGCACAAACATGAAAATCTGACTTATGCTGGAGGGAAATTTTAATGACCGATCCTCCCTGAATTTTTTTGAAGGTGGAATTAGCCTGTGGGTAGGCTGTGGTGTGGTGTGGAATACACTCAGAGGTGGAAAAGAACATGATATTGAAAGAGTTCCAACAACATACAATCAGGCCTGGGGGGAAGGCAAAGCTGACCAGAGCCACTTACAAATAGTAAGAAAAATTAAAAAACAATAAACAGCAGCAGAGGATTGTGATGCTGATATGATGCCTACAGCTTCTGCAGCGAGGAGCAGTTATGGAGCTTGGATGGTCCACACCCAAACGGGAGGTTTTCTATGAGGAGATGGCATAGTCCCTGCACTTTCCCTACTCCTCAGGAACCTTTCCCTGCTGCTGTTTGCTGTCCCTGTCAGACAGAGAACCTGTCCCCGACATTAGCCACTCACCTAAAGCGTTCCAAACCCAAGAGTCTGAGTTTTAAATAGACTCTGCCCTGACCCAAGATGGACACCGAGGTCACGTGAAGTTTCCCACGACTTCCTCTCCCTTCTGCATTGTCGCTTTGGTTGAGCGCCACCTACAGTAGGGAATACAGACTGCATCTGCCTACAAGCCATTAACAGCTTCCCGTCCACCCTATAGCAGAAATACTGCTAAAGGGCGGCACTGTAAGGGACCGCCCGGCGGTACCACTAGCACTCCACTGATCGGAAGACGTTCCCAGCGTACGGAGTCTAAGCCCCAGAGTACTTGTTCACCAGGGCCCCTGATGGTGGGGATGGACTTGGAGTACCCTGGGACCAGGTCGTGACTACTGAGGACACCCGTCAGTGGTAGGGGTATTCGCCAGGGGCTCCCACGGGAGAGAGCCAGGTATGAGGAGGACTGGAGACCCCGTTGAGAGGGATGGATGGCTGAGCAAGTGCAAGGTCATACAAGCCGGGTCGGTAACTATGGGGACGGTGCGGTACAGAGCAGCGGGCAAAGAATAGTCGGGTCACACGCCAGGTCAGCAACAGCAGGTCAGATCAAATAGGGGGCATTCAGGAGAGAGGTCAGGCAAGCAAGGGTCAAGAACAGGAGAAACAGCAAGGTCAGGGCACAATCCGGGTCAGCAACTTACTTCACAGGTACACAGGATTCAAAGAGACCAGAAGGCACTGAATGACAGCTCAGGGCCGTTTAAATATCCCGCCCTGCGCTGTCATTGGTGCCAGGCGCGCGCCCGTGGTCTCTACTGCGCATGGGCGAACCTGGTTGCCGCGGTCGGCCAGGTCCCGGCGCCCGCGTCCCTGCACAGGGCGGTGTATTGCGCCTGCGCCGAGCCCAGCGGCGATCCCCGACATCTACTATTCAGTGTCAGAGGATCCTCCCATTACTACACATCTACTATTCAGTGTCAGGGGATCCCCCCATTACTACACATCTACTATTCAGTGTCAGGGGATCCCCTCATTACTACACATCTACTATTCAGTGTCAGCGAATCCCCCCATTACTACACATCTACTATTCAGTGTCAGGGGATCCCCTCATTACTACACATCTAATAGTCAGTGTCAGGGGATCCCCCCATTACTACACATCTACTATTCAGTGTCAGGGGATCCCCCATTACTACACATCTACTATTCAGTGTCAGGGGATCCCCCATTACTACACATCTACTATTCAGCGTCAGGAGGTCCCCCCATTACTACACATCTACTATTCAATGTCAGGGGATCCCCCCATTACTACACATCTACTATTCAGTGTCAGGGATCCCCCCATTACTACACATCTACTATTCAGTGTCAGGGATCCCCCCATTACTACACATCTACTATTCAGTGTCAGGGGATCTCCCCATTACTACACATCTACTATTCAGTGTCAGGGGGTCCCCCATTACTATACATCTACTATTCAGTATCAGGGATCCCCTATTACTACACATCTACTATTCAGTGTCGGGGGTCTCCCCATTACTTCCAATGAGTTACAGAGCTCTTATCAGCAGAGATAAATAGGAATATAGAATCAGGAGATCCCGGCCCCCTTCACTATACAATCCTCCCGTCCTCGAATCACTAGCAATCTAGCACTGTATTGTAGTTCATGTCAGGAGTAGTCTGTACTCAGGGATGCATCTACTATTACAGGTCCGTTTCTACACATTTTTTGGGTTGCATTTGGGGGGTTCCCCCATTAGGTGTTTGGATTTGTGTCCTGGTTGGTTCTTGGGGTGGGGGGTTTGGTGTATCTGTTTATTACGCATGACTCGAATATCATGGATCCCCCAACTACGAGATTACTATTCAGGCCTCCATCAAGTGGTAATAGTTCACAATCTACGAGGGGTACTATTCATGTTTCTTGGGGATCCCCCATTACAAATTCTGTGTATTCACCAGGTATGGGGATAATTGTGTTTGTGGTGTGGTAATCACCATCTCCCCCAACTACACACATGGAGGACAATATTGGGGGGTCCCCCCATTGGACTCACATTATAACATTTCAGGGATCCCCCTAAAATTCTCATTTCAGTGGAGATTTACTAAAGTTATCAGAGCTCATATCGAATATTAAATGAACCTTGAAAAACAAAGAGAAATGAGTTACTATTTTCTTTATCCATATTCATATGGGACACAGATATCCATTCCATTAATATTCTGGTATGGATTTTCACCAACTCTTTCATGTAAATTCTATATTTTCTAAATCACACGATTGGGGGACAAATATTTACATTCTATTGTCGGGGGTCATTTACTTCCTATTCAATTTTCTTTTTTAGATTGGAATATAATAATCACCTGGCCTCACACAGACAGTTCCTCCCGCCCACAAATGGCATTCCTTGGAATATCCTAGAAATAACCCGGGGTGGACACTGAGGACATTGGACCAAAGTGTCCGGGAACCAAAAGAATCTGGAGGGTCCTGTCGCGAATATTTTTCAAGAATGAGAGAATTAATCTGATGGTCAACATTCATTTACGTCCTTCTTCTGCAAATCTGGTTTATAAGGCTCTGACAACAAGCCGATAGAGAATTACAGTGAGTATAAACAGGACTGACTGAGAATATTGGGGGATCATATTCTGGGACAGATTAACATTCCAACCTTGAAAAATTAATGAATACAAACAGATTATATTACATTTTAATCATACGCCACCTCGAAAACAAATCATTTCTTTTTCATATCATACATCATGGGACACAGGGCATATTCATATCCATTATGATAAGGTCATGATTGCCACCTTTAGGTGATTGGACACTGGCAAAAAAACAGTCCCCTTCTAGGCATAACCCTTTCCCAGCAGGCAAGGTTTCCGTTTTTGTTTGTTTAGGTGATGGCCATGTCTGTGCAATCTCTGCATGAAAGAATATGATTCCAGCTGGAATTAGGAGACTTGCTTTTTGTAGATTTATTATCTATGGCTTTTGAATGCTAAGAAGAATGGTACTAAGACCCCACACTGGACACATTGGGATGGAATGTAAGGTTTCCGATCAGCACTGGACCCTGCGCAATGATATTTTGCATTGCAGGATAAATAGTTTGCTATATACAGTAGGTCAAAATAAAGTTTCTCTTTGCTAGGTAGCCGAGTCCTGAAAGCCATTAGTGGCAGAGCCCGCCATGCTCGGTGAAGAATGGACTCCCAGTGGCATGAAATAGAGGGTGTCTTGACAGCAGCCTTGCTGGTAACCCCCAATGACCTTTTCCCCGGGGCAGGACATGAGTGTGGGCCTCAGAAGTATTCTTTATTTTTTTAACTTATGCCTCACTTGTGGGTTCTGTGTAGCTTCTCTGAGTGCCCCAGGTGCTACATAGCTCAAGCAGAGTTTAGAACCAGTCTGGGAGGCTCTAGGTGCCTAAAAGGTACCCAGAACCCTGTTGCTTATAGCTCAGTGCGCTCTTGACTGAGTTGGACTGCTGTTCTCAGCAAGTGTCCCAACAAACATGTCAGCAGGCCATGTCTTACCAATGGAATAGTGTAGGTGGTAAGGGTTCCCAAATACCTTCTTCAGGCAAGGAGGAACCTCCTGGGCAAGGCCCCACTTATAATGAATTCTCTAAGGGTCAGTTTGTTCTATGCAGCTTTAATCCCTCCTCCTATGTGGTAAATCTGCTACTTCTGGGGTACCGTCCTCCAGTTCCTTTGTGACAAGGGAGGAATTGCTGTGGTACAGCAGCAGCTTTCCAGAATTCATGCTGGCATGGACAGCTTTGGTTACAAATGGAAGCATTCCCATTCTCCTCCATCCCGGTTAACAGAAGGAATAGGTAAAGGATGAGGTAGAGGAAGATAATAATGTTCCTCTAGAAGGGGATGCAGAAGAACCTTTGTCCAAGGAATCTACTCCTGAAGAACTCCAGGGTCATATCTCAAATCTAAAAGATTGTGAGCTTTCTCATGGAAGTTGTCCAGGTTGCTTTAAAGTTACTGCTTCCTGAGTATTCTTTCAGTCAATCCAAGTTTCGTACTTTAACAAGACCCTCATGTGCCCAGTGGATGAGGTCCCAGTATTTAAGAATGCCTAGGAAAAATATCTGGAGGCTTTATCCAAGGCCTCATATGGACTGATAGGAGCAACTTTACATCTAGCAAATATGGCTGTTGGCGTGTGTCAAAGCCTCAAAGTCTGGCCTTGCCACATGACAGCAGAGAGGGATTCTACTAGTGGAGATACTGAATCAGGCAGAAACCTGGAGGCTTTCCACATGTTCTTAGCTGCACAGTGGATATCCTAAAGGACTCTATACAGCAGCTTTCACATCCCTGGGTCTTATCCATGCATGTGTGCAGGATCTTATAGCTGAAATGTTGGTCAGTGGAATTGCCCTACTACTTTTGGGGCACCTTTCCTCCACTTCCTTTGTGACAAGGGAGGAATTCTCATTTATTATTATTGGAGTACATCAGAAGTTTTCCAGAATTCCTGCTGGCTTGGACCACCTTGGTCACAAAACATTCCCCCTTTCCTCTGCACTCCCTGGTAGTGGAGGAGGAACCAGTGGAGGACAAGGTAGAGGAAAATGAGTATGTGCTGGTAGAGTTGGACACAGAAGAATCCTCATCTGAGAAATGTACTCCTAAAGGACTCCAGGGTCAAAGTTTATCTCAGACCCAAATGGCATTTGTGAGTTTTGAGAGTTCTTTGACAGAAATTGGTACTCTGACATTGTGAACATGTGAGGTCAACCCTTAAAAAGCTTGTGGATGGCCCAACCTTCTGTCGCAAGATATGATCTTCAATCCTTCTTTACAGTTGCTGGCTTTAATGGCATGGCTCTTGAAGCCAGGATCTTCACAGACAGGGAAGTCTCTGGTTTCACTATTCCTACCTTACTGAAGGCTCAGAAGGCAACTTCATGGAAGATTACCAAAAAACTTAGAAATCTTATTTTGCTTTGTGTGAGGCTAGAAGATTTTATCCTCACAAGTATGTCGTGGTCACATCCTGACTTTTATCCAAACTGGAAGTGATCTGTGACTGACCGTGAGTACGCTCAAGATTCAGATATCAGCCTTGGTGGGTCTTTTTCCCAGAGACAGAAGTGGTTTCAGAAGCAGGGTTCAAAAGTGTGCTACGTTCAGAGTGTAGGCTCAGGAGTGCGCTGTGTACAGAGTTCAGGGCTCAAGGAGTGTGCTACGTACAGAGTTGGGGCTCAGAAGTGTGCTACTTACACAGTGCAGGGCTCAGAAGTGTGCTACTTACACAGTGCAGGGCTCAGGAGTGGGCTATGTACACAGTGCAGGGCTCAGGAAGTGGGCTATGTACACAGTGCAGGGCTCAGGAGTGGGCTATGTACACAGTGCAGGGCTCAGGAGTGGGCTATGTACACAGTGCAGGGCTCAGGAGTGTACTATGTACAGAGTTCAGGGTCAGGAGTGTGCTACATACAGAGTTGGGGCTCAGAAGTGTGCTACTTATAGAGTGCAGGGCTCAGGAGTGGGCTATGTACAGAGTCAGGGCTCAGGAGGGTGCTACATACTGAGTGCAGGGCTCAGGAGGGTGCTACACATACTGAGAGTGCAGGGCTCAGGAAGGTGCTACATACTGAGTGCAGGACTCAGGAGGGTGCTACATACTGAGTGCAGGGCTTAGGAGTATGCTACATACAGAGTGCAGGACTCAGGAGTGTGCTGTGTACACAGTGCAGAGCTCAGGTGTGCGCTACATACAGAGTGCAGGGCTCAGGAGTGTGCTACATACCGGGTGCAGGGCTCAGGAGTGTGTTTCGTACAGAGTACAGGGCTCAGGAGTGCGCTGTGTACAGAGTGCAGAGCTCAGGAGTGCGCTGTGTACAGAGTGCAGAGTTCAGGTGTGTGCCTTGCAGGAATAATAGCAGGGAATTATAGTGAGCGAAGAAGAAATTACATCATACAAGAGGGAAGGATACAAAAAAAATTGTACAATAATGAAGTGCAAAATTATTCACAGTATGTGGAAAATACATACAAATACACCCCTGTTCCAAATTATTATGCAAATTCTATTTAAGTGTCACAAAGATTAAATATTTTGTTTTTCAGTGTAACTCATGGATGGCATTGTGTGTCAGGGCTCTTTTGATCACTGAAAACAATCTGGGACACCTGTGATAATTAGATAGGCCGGTGAGCCCAATTTAAGGAAAAAATTACTAAAGGAGGGTGTCCCACATTATTAAGCAGAGCACCATTTTCAAGCAATATGGGGAAGAAAAAGGATCTCTCTGCTGCCGAAAAGAGTAAAATAGTTCGATGCCTTGGACGAGGTATGAAAACATTCAGATATTTCACAAAAACTTAAGCGTGATCATCGCACTATTAAGAGATTTGTGGCTGATTCAGACCACAGATGGGTTGTGTGCAGATAAGGCACATTGAGGAAGATTTCTGCCAGATCCATGCATCGGATCAAGAGAGCAGCTGCTAAAATACCATTACATAGCAGCAAACAGATATTTGAAGCTGCTGGTGCCTCTGGAGTCCCACGGACATCAAAGTGTAGAGTCCTCCAGAGTCTTGCAACTGTGCATAAACCTTCTATTCGGCCACCACTAACCAATGCTCACAAGCAGAAACGGCTGCATTGAGGCAGAAAAATACATGAAGACTAATTTTCAAACAGTCCTGTTCACTGTTGAGTGCCGTGCAACCCTGGATGGTCCAGATGGATGGAGTAGTGGATGGTTGGTGGACGGCCACCCTGTTCCAACAAGGCTGCGACGTCAGCAAGGCGGTGGTGGAGTCATGTTTTGGGCTGGAATCATGGGAACAGAGCTAGTCGGGCCCCCTTTAGGGTCCCCGAAGGTGTAAAGATGACCTCTGCAAAGTATGTGGAGTTTATGACTGACCACTTTCTTCCCTGGTACAGAAGGAAGAACTATGCTTTCCGTAATAAAATCATCTTCATGCATGACAATACACCATCTCATGCTGCAAAGAATACCTCTGCATCAATGGCTGCTATGGGATAAAAGGAGAGAAAGTCATGGTGTGGCCTCCATCCTCCCCTGACCTCAGTCCTATTGAGAACCTTTGGAGCATCCTCAAGCAAAAGATCTATGAGGGTGGGAGGCAGTTTACATCCAAACAGCAGCTCTGGGAGGCTATTCTGACATCTTGCAAATAAATTCAAGCAGAAACTGTCCAAAAACTCACAAGTTCAATGGATGCAAGACTTGTGATCTGCTATCAAATAAGGGCTCCTATGTTACAATGTAACGTGACCTGGTAAAATGTTTGATTGAAATAGCTTTTGATTTCAGTAAATATGCTGCAAACACAAAAATGACAATTTTCAGTTCTTTACAACCTATAAAGTGTTTTGAAACTTACCTGTGCGGAATAATTTGGAACAGAGCATTGTAAGTTTTTCATGTTTAAAAAAATCCTGTTATCATGAGGAGGTTTGTTCAATAAAATGTGAATTGTACTCTTATAGTTGATAACATGAGAATTATGCTGACTGTTATTTACATCAATTATTTAGGTAAATGAGAAAAATTGCATAATAATTTGGAACACGGTGTAAATTACTTTGTCAATATAACTACTTGAGCAGCACAGCAAATAAAATAACTTGAGAAGCACATATTAAAAAAGCGCACATCACTTAAAAGCCTTTTTTGAAACATTTATTGGTTAAGAACTTCAAATACAGCCAATGTGTTTTCAGGCCTCTTGGTTCTTCAGGCCTTGAGCAGTGGATCATGATGAGATGTCATGGAAGACCTACAGTATGTTATAATGTCGTCATTTAAATGCACTGTGAACTGCTGGCCGAGTTTCTCAGTTATTTCATATTGTGGTTTAAGAATTGGACCCGTCATGCCTCCTCTGCACTCCACCAGCTAGATCAAGTACAGACTGTACTTGATTGGCTCTATTCCCTGTGAAATACTTACAGTTTTGAACCTCAAAGTGCCCTTGAGATTCCAGGTTCATTGCTTCTAGGGAGAATAGAGACACTAATGTTTTTTTTGTCTTCCCTCCACTCACATCCTGACAGCACCCATGGAGGGTGTGATGGACCACCTGGCACCTCTCCCAGGTGCCTCCATCAGATGGCTGCTTTCTCACACACTGGAACACAGGAACAATATATTATAGCTGGGCATTGCACCCAAGAACAACCAGACACTAGCTTAGGTGCAAACAGGAACTACTTTATTTTTATAAAAATCTACTAGCATTCCGAGATTGTTTGGAATATCAATTTCCCTAAAATCCTGGATGTCATATCTCCACCACTCAGCTGTACTTCTAAAGTTCGGATCTTCCTGGATTCTCTCAAGTAATAGTTCTGGACCATCAAAATCATAGCCCTCCATGGGCGTATCATCCTTCAGTCATGGACAAACTTGGGAAATATACCAATTAAGCACTCCGTGTCCTTCATCCAACATCATCTCGAGGCAAACCAGATGTTCCAATCAGGTCACCCATTCTTGCTGGGGCTGCTGCTCTCAGGAAGGACATCCGTAAGTCCCATTGGAGACAGTATAGCTCCTCCGGGGTAGCAAGATCCTTTCCACAATGCTCCTGTTCCAACTGCAGCGCTTCTTTCCATAGTTTCCGATGAATGACATCCCTCCATACCAGTGCATCCTGTACAGAACCAGGTCTGCCCAACTGGGTGAGCATTTGCTGAATCTGCCGCCGAAATGCCACTTCCATCTGTGTGGAAAATCACCACTCTGCACTGGACTCCGGCAGATATATCCCAGTGTGGAACTGCTCCGTAGGAAGGAAGTAAATCCCACAGCTTGCCCCCAAATGTGGTGGACTGCCTGGTGCCCCGCTTGATTGCCTCCATAATGATAGAGCTTCCTCCACTCTGGAAGAAAGGACCAAGGTATTATAGCTGGGTATTGCACCCAAGAGATAGACAACACTAGCTTAGGTGCAACTGGAACTCCTATATTGAACAGATATACAGGTTTTTATACACTTCAGAAATAGGGGTAGTCCCCATATGAATAATAAAATAAATATTACATATTGGGATAAACATCACACACTGATTTGGTAACCAGGTCAAGTTGACACAAGACTAATCCCATCATGTAGGAACCTCCAGGAGAATTAGCCAACAGGCAGAAACAATCGGTGACTCAATTAACCAATTACCAAGGGAGAGAAAGACAGACAGTAAGAGTAAACAGATAACCCCTTAAAAAAAACAGATTACAGCAGGGGACTTTGGCATCAGGTTGTTCTGAGCTGATTATATTAACATCTGCTCTGAGTCTAGCAGGGGGTTGAAGCAGTCAATGCACAGAGACCCCAAATCTGTGTCCAGGTCCTCCAGTTCTGAGTCTGTGTGTTTCAGGGAGACAAGGACTTGAATCTGAAAAACTACTCCAAAGGTCCCCCAGGCACACACCTCCCAAAGAATAGAGCCCCCTCAAATGCCAAGGCCCATGGTCAGTAGGCAACAGGCTAGCCTGCAGTCCCCTCCAAAAGCCCCCATCCTGGTTGGGTCTGTCACAGAGGGGACAAGTAAGTGCAGGACACAAGTGGAGAATGGACAGGGGATGCACCATCTTTCACATGTAGAAGTGATTTGGTGGCTGTACAATCACTTCTATTTCAGAGATTGAAGTCAACTGAGAAAAGATTATTCACATGACTGCATTAATTTGTATAAAACCCAATATTGCTGTGATGTAATATGCTGGCGGCTCTAAAAGAGTTAAAGGACAAATGTATATTAAGTGAAGTTGCCCTTTAATAAACCCCCCCGACTTCAGTCTGTCTGGTAAAATACTAACCATCTCCTCCACTGCTGTTATCTCCGCTGTGTAAACCTGTCCACCACTTCACAGTCTCTGCAGTAAAAACATCCCGGCCAGGTCTTCTTCTTATTGCAAATGTGCCTGTGGCCTCTTCAGTTGTGTGGTTGAGCCATACTCATGGTGGCCTCCAGACATTCAGTGGAGTACAGCTCATCCATAAGGATAAATAGAGCCATGACGTGCAAGAGGACCCATCCTTTGCCTCCATTTGTCTTAGTGGTCCTCCTCTTCTCCAAATCATCTTCTACAGTTTTACCTTTCCACACTGACTTTCTCCACACTGAGTCCTTGTTCCCTCCATTGTTCCATCATGTGACTCGTGGTCTCACGTTCTTGGCTGTGCTGAAAATAGGGATCATTTAACTTTATTTTACCCAGAATTCCCCCAGGTGTGTTTGTCTGCCAATGCATGTGTGTTCATCCTTCAGTCTACATCCATCGGTCAGTTTTAATATATCAAATGCCATATCAGTTCATGTCATTCGGTGTCTCTGTCCATTGGCCTGTGCAAGTTTTGTTGTATTATAAAGTATAACATACACCCTGAGATAAATGATCTGGATTGAGGGATACAGTTGTATTCCCATATGTAGCACACCTTTGCAGGAGCCACTAGATTGATAA